CTCTATTTAGATCACATCTGTCCTTCAAGGTAGCTCAGGATATTTGCAATAAGGTCCTCAAGGACTTAATTCTGCTTCACTTCAGCCCAGTTGCTGTGTCATGTACCTTCATGCTACAGCCTTGGGCTGACAAATGACCAGCTGATCTAGTCAACCACTGAAGTGGTCAACTAGCTAAGATCATTCCATTGTAGCTCAGAATGCTTCCTAATAGGAGGTGTATGGATTAGTCTCCAGAAGGACTGGATACCTGAATCCAAGGAAATGCATTTCAGACTGGGAAACAACCTTTCTCTCACAGATTACTGAGCTGCAGTCCATGACTGAAATGTTTAATGCCAACAATGAATATGGCCTAACAGTCTTTCTGTTTTGTCTTTTTACTTGGTGGAGTTGGTTCTGCTTTCCATTTCACAAACACATAAAAAACAAACCACAGTACCACAAAGCTTTATTTTCTCTACATCTTCCAAGACTTTCCTCTAAATGAAATACTGACCACTGGGCCCAGCTCATCTGTTCTTGGGGTTTTTCCTAAATATTAATATTGAGTTTATGAAAACGACGAGTATTCAACAATTAACAGTATACCGGGCAACGTCTCACAGGCATGAAAGCAGAAAGAGGGCCACAAAGTTCATTACAATCTTGTAACAGGAGATGGAGCAAAACTCCTTTTCCTGGTCAGCGGTCTGTGCAAACCCATCAAATGATTCAAATTTCTCTTGTAGAACTGGAATCTGTAGTTCAACATTTTTGTTAGTTGTAGAATTGGGCACTTTTTAAAGTGATCATCTGTCTACAGAACAAAACTTGATCAGTATCTTTTCATGTTTTCACATTAGTTTGAGTGCATGATAATAGAGTTCTAGGCACTACTTTTGTGCATACATGGTATGAGGGACAGCATATCTTCCAGTGATCTTCTTCTGCATCAGTAAGCCCTAATGGGCAAACTTAATAGGCAAGCCTACTGTATGGTGTCCTGGCCCTGGTTCTAACTTTTTCCCACTTGCAAGTCTCAGGAGTGATACTAGGTCAGGGGCAGTGTGGAAAATGAGTGCTTATATCCAGATGCTTTTTAATGCCTGGAGTACCAGATCATCATTTTAGCCTGCCAAGTCACTGGTACATGTCCAAGGATGCCAAGTGTGAACACACTGATGGTTCTCCCTGTATTTTATTTCGCACCATTTTGGAAGAACCGTTTGTGTTATTAAAATGAATGTTGTCTAGTGTTGCTAAACACCACAGCTTCACATCCACTTCACATTTACAGGTGTTTAAATTTGAAACTCTATTCGATATTTTGTCTTTCCTTTTACTATCTGCCACTATAATTTTCTCTTCCATCCTTTTTTCATTCCTATTGTTAAGGAAACCAGTTGGGATTCCCAGTTTCTTTCTTATGTGTCAAACAATGCTTTCTAACTTGTTTATCCAGATGCTTTTGGACATCAATCCCAGAAACTCTTGGCAGCATGACCAATGGGGAGTCATTCTGACTGCTGTAGCCCACAAATTGGTAAACAGTTGTGTCGAACCTTTTTAGGCTGCCCAGTTGTGAGAGTAGGGGATGGGATTGCAGGAGATGACCACACAGATATCAAAAAAGGGCACAGTGCTGCAGGAAATGGCAAGACAGAGTGTCGACAGGGGGTATTAAATTGTTTAACTTTTCACAATGTGCTTTTAACACATCAGCTTAATACGTGTTAGTCAGCACAGTTTCCATACTCCCCTAGTGTAAAGCCTATATAGGGACAGTGAGAAACAATTCCAGGAAGATATGTGAAGTGAGGATTTTTATTTTGCACATATCCGTTTGGGTGCTGACAAATCATTTTCAGCTGGACAAAATAAAAAAATAACGACAAAATATTCCAAATATTGGAGAGGATGGGTAAAAATCAAGGATTTCTCTTCAGTGTACTAGAGTTTCTATTCTAATTTAGCCTGACCTCATCTGTGCGGTAATGCAATTTAAGAAAGATATTGATGAGCAGGAACAAGGTCAGAAGGAGGTTACCAAAATGGTCTGGAAATCAGGTCCTATAAGTAATGCCTGAGAGACCTGGATATACAGGGTGTCCATAAAGTCTCTTTACCATTTAAATGTTAAAGAGACTTTATAGACACCCTGTGTTTGGCTGGAAGAAGTGAAGACAGAGAGATGTTTTCTATCATTAAATCGCTTGCTGATAACAATCTGTTTGGCACAGCAGATGACCCATGGGGTCACTTTGTCTTGTGTTGGAGCACCTGTAATTTAAGCTGTACAGAAAAAAAGTGATAATATAAAGTGGAGAAAGAGATGTTGTTGTTGTATGGTTTTGTTAATTGTGAGATATCTTTTTTTAAAATAGCAGCAACAGAGAAATGCTAGAGCTTGAAGGTTTAGTTTTGGGGGCTAAGGCTCCTAGCATCTGCCAGTCAGCATGATTTTGCCAGTCTCTGAAAAATTTGGATTGTTGGTTGCAACTCCACAGGGACAATGCTGCATTGCACTGCAAGAGAGTCCTTGTGAGATTGCCTCATCTGGTTCAGAGTAACCAAATATCCTGTTTGCCTCCTAAATATGCATTCCTCAAAGCATTCTGGAAGCATCTCAGTAGTGTATGGCTTCCGAGTGGAATCAACACTGACCTGGTTTCAGGTTCTTGGGTACATTGTAATTCAAGGATGGAGTTGGCATTGGGCAAATAATTCAGTAACCTGAGAACTGCAGCTTCCAGCCCTTAAGGCTCTGAAAATGGGCCCAAAGGTATTAAAGTAAGAACAGATGTAAGCTTAGAAGCTAGAAGTATATCAAAAGGCGAATAAGATTTACAAATATCAGTGCTTCCTATGCATCTCCGTATTAACAGAATCAACTGTATGTTAAACCATTAAGTCTATATTTATGTTATAATTGTCACAGAATGTATTTTTTCCTGGATCAAAGTTTGGAATATGAAATTTGAATTCTGTGACTTCATTCAGTCTGTACATGCTCTTGTTTGCCAACAGATTTTCTGCTGGAGACAACTGAGCAAAACAATAACCTGTTAACAATCACCAGCCTATAGCTCTAAAGTTTTGTTTGATAATGTTTTAAAATACAAAATATGGTGAATATCCTCCACTGAAGAAAGAAAAATTGCTGAATAACATCACAACCTTCACAGCAATTGATGTGTTTAAATGTTCTCCCTGGCCAAGGATATTGGCTACATGGTGTGAGAAATCACTCATGTGGAATTCATTTCAGTTTGCACACACTCACTGATAAAGCAAGCTCCAGCTCCAAATCAGGAAAATACAGAAGCATAATGGGTTTATCAAACAGATTTGTTCTCTCTTCAAACCACATCTTCTGAAATACCTGTCACGGCCTCTGACACATAATGGAGAGTTCATCAGGTAGAAACAGTCTCTCTGACTACATAAAGTTGATTAAAGAAACCATTATGTTCCCCATCAGTTTGGGCTTTCAATCTGTTTTCTGGAGCATTGCCCACTTCAATTTATAGCCAAAGAAGGCATGTTCTGACTACAGAACAGCAAGCGTTCACCAACTCTTTCTTTGCTCAATTAGTAGGATGCCAGAATCAATGGGACTTGAATCAGGAACTTTCTGGCACCCTTGGTTGTGAACAAGAATCTTTAGAAAACAAGAAATATTAGGAGCATGGCTCAATTTCCAGCAATCTATTGAGATCCTCTCTGACCAATCCTGGCTATATAACCTTGTGGACTCTGGAATGGACAAATGCTGGCTTTGGCCTTGCCCAGCTGGTCATCTCTACTCCAACCAATATTTGCACCCTGTCTTTTATCATACATCTTCCCTTCTCCAGACACTAAGACCTTCAGATTCAGCTTCCTCCAGTGAAACTCAGACTATTCTAACTGTCCTTATCACCATCTGCTTTTATGCATTCACTCACAAACTGTGCAGCTTCTTGCCAATGCTGCCTTACATACATACCTATTAGATCTTAGCCCATCCTGAAAGCAAGATATGACTATACAAACTAAGACCAATTCTTGACAAAGACAAGTAATGCTTCAGCATATAGGCCCTTTCAGACTACACCAGTGGTTCTCTACCTATGGGTCCCCAGATGTTTTGGCCTTCAACTCCCAGAAATCCTAACAGCTGGTAAACTGGCTGGGATTTCTGGGAGTTGTAGGCCAAAACACCTGGGGACCCACAGGTTGGGAACCACTCCACTACATAGTCACAGCACTTTGATTCTACTCTGACTGGCTGGACCCTTTATAATCCCAGTGTTTGTAGTTTGGTGAAGAACAAGGGCTCTCTGGTGAGGAATCTAGATGCCCTTTTCTAAAAGAAGAAATCCCAGACTTCCACAGGATGGAACCACAGCAGTTGAAGTGGAATCATAACACTATAGCTGCATATTGTGAAGAGGTCTTGTATCCATGTCATCACCAATTAACATTATAATGTTGCAAAGCTCACCATACATCTTTAATTGTTCAGAGGGTGCACTGTTCTTCAGATTTAAACATTATGAAGTGAAGATCAGTTGTTGTGGCTGTGGTGTAGTTGTTATAACTACACAAAGCTCTGGAAAGCTATTGTTTTGACTACAATGCCCAGAATCCTCCAAATAACTTTTCTAAGCTCTGGTCACAATTTTTTTATCTTAAGTATCTGAATAAAAAGCAGAATAAGTATTTTAAACCAACATGTTTGCTTCATCACATTTCCCCTGCCCAATTTGCTAGTGGCTGGTACAGGCTCATAACCCAAGTCATAGAGGGAAGGGAAGGGAAGGGAAGGGAAGGGAAGGGAAGGGAAGGGAAGGGAAGGGAAGGGAAGGGAAGGGAAGGGAAGGGAAGGGAAGGGAAGGGAAGGGAAGGGAAGGGAAGGGAAGGGAAGGGAAGGGAAGGGAAGGGAAGGGAAGGGAAGGGAAGGGAAGGAAAAAGATAGAAAGAGGTCGTCTTTTTTCAAAACACCAAGGTAACAACATTGTTTTTTTTCTCTCTCCTTTGAATGATATTTTAAGAACAAAATATGAAATTCCCAAAAACTTCCATGGTGCCTACTGTGATCCATTTCCAAAGAATAAACATATGTCTTCAAGTATGGGTTTTTTTTTTTTTTTTGCTATTTACCTATTGATGTACAAAGTGATCTGGGGGGATTATGTTCCCTGCTTTAAAAAAAACAGTATGATATAAGGCAATCTATAAAAGAATGCACAAAATGCAAAAAAGAAGGGCAGTCTTATAAAGTCCCTCTATTGGCTTACATTAGCTACTTTTTGCGGCAAACACAGAAGAACCATCACAACAAGCCAAAAGCTACATTTCCCAACAGAACACAGAATAGCTCTCATTCTTCGCTCGTCCTGAAAAACCAGCACACTGTTGAGTCAAAGAAAATAAATCCCACACCAAAGGAGCCCCACACTATCCCCATTAATGTTTGAAGTTGTTGCCCTTCTTGGGGCATTCGGAGACTTTTTTTTCCAGTTGCACTTCCTTCTTCACTCCCAGACTCCTTTGTACACCGCTGCCAGACCACCTCCTGGGCTGGCCCTTACGAGAAAGATTATTATGTGTTTTCCCCTCTTTTTGCTCTTTCTTTTTTCATTTGAGGCGCTGAGTCACATTTGCCAGAGCTACTGCAAAGGCCTGCACCGCTGAAAATGGATACTGGAAGTCCAAAATATAAGCGTTGCCATCAATCCTCCCAAACTGCATGACCTGAGGGACAAAATCGTGGAAGGAGAAAAAGAAAAGAAGCAGATAAAAACATTAACAAAGACAAATAAGAACTAAAAAATGTTAAAGAGAATGTGGATTATTATAAGGATGAGAAGCTTACAATCTTTTGCATCATACTGAGAATTAACACTTCAATATGATAAGAGGTTGCAATCAAGTCAGTGAGGCCATCAGAAAGAAAGGATGTTTCCCCTGCAATATTTGGGGGGGGGGGGTTGTGCCAAAGTTAGTCTATAAAGGCCTAAACAGTTCTGGCCCAACTTACCTGTCCGAATGCATCTGCTACTATGAACCCGCTAGGACGTTAAGATCAACTAGGGAGCCCTGCCCTCGGTCCCACCTGCATCACAAGTATGTCTGACGAGAACGAGAGACAGGGCCTTCTCAGTGGTGGCCCCTTGGCTGTGGAACAGCCTTCCTACAGAAACTAGATCGGCCCCCTCCCTATTAGCATTTTGGAGGAAAGTGAAGACCTGGTTATTCGAACAGGCATTTGAATAATCAGTGTATTGAATATAGGAATATGGAACAACGGATTATGAGATTGGATCTTGATTCTACCTATGAGACGCTAATGAGATGTTATAGTTATGTTTAATTGATTGTTTATTATGTCATTGTTTTAATTGTTTTTTAACTGTTTTTATGATGTTGAGCATTGAATTTTGCTATTGTTAACCGCTTTTAGTCGCCCAAGGGCGAGAAAAGCGGCATATAAATGAAGTAAATAAATAAATAAATAAATAATAGAGCTAGGAGCAGTCACTTTTTGGACAACAACGTCCTGAATTCCATGGCCATGGAAGTTATAGTGTAAAAAGTAACTTTTCTCAGCTCTTAATGTGTAGGACTGCTCTGAAAGGGTGAGCACTGGAGACTTGATGTGATTAAGAAATATTTTTTTTTATAAATTTCCAAAGATATTTTTCTTTCACACACTTCTCATCTGGATAAAACTGAAGCATACACTTCTCACCCATTCACTCAAATCTTCACGCACTCTTCCTGCCAAACAGTGTCAAGAAGTCTTTGTGGAAGGGACTAAATCTAATAATTAGAATTGAAAGCTAGCTTTGTTTTGCAAAGCTAGTTTTAAAAAGTGCTATCTGCTTTAGTTCACACTCCTTAGCTGTAGATATGGAAACATTTATTTTGAAAGGTGAAAAACAAATAGTCAAGGTTTCAAATCAATAGAATCTTGCATCATTTTTTTCTTGACACACTTTACTATTTTCTGCTTTACACATTAGGCATGGTTTAGATTTGCCTTGTTAATTTGGCTGAGGTATTATTCTTTTGTGATGATCAAATGCGATCTCAGAATCCAAAGGCTCTTCCGCCCTTCACATAGTTTCATGGATCAAAGTAGCTACACACCTGCGATGAAATACATCTTCCATGATCTGCTCAAGGTGCTCTCAGGAAGCCAAAAAATAAGGAACTATTCTTTCTAGAATGTAACAAATTTGGATTTAAGTAGCCAAGCTTTCTATGCTTCTGAGAGGTTCTATTATCTCAAAAGGGAACCATTTCATATATTGGGTTGCTGTGAGTTTTCTGGGCTGAATGGCCATGCTCCAAAAGCATTCTCTCCTGATGTTTCACTGACATCTATGGCAGGCATCTTCAGAGGTTATGAAGTTCTTATATTGTTTTCAATCCTTAGGCTGCCATGTATCCCAGCACTGGGAAAATGGAAGCTGCAAATATAACAAACCAGAAGACACCGTGATGCCCATTTTAGGCAACATATAAGACATATTTATATTTGTTTATGTGCTTATTTATATCCCAGCTTTCTACCAAAATGGGACTCAAAGTGGCCTGTTAATTCTATCTGGAGGCCTAAGGAGACATGGGAAATGAATGGCCCTACAGATGTTAATCCCCAACTGCCAGATGCTCCAGTCAACATGGACTAAGTGAGTCAAAAGAGTCTTCTTAATTATAGGGGAGGAAAATAACAAATCTTCTCTAATTTTTAACCCTCACAGCACAACTGGCAAGTGCTACAAGAGTGTTGTGGACATCTTGGAAAGTGAGGATGATTTAAGATGCTGGTGGAAGGCCCAGCGGTTGAGCTGAAGCCCAAGCAGTGCCCTGTGGCTTCCTCAGCTCAACTTTGAAGAAGCACCCATGGAAGGGTGCTACGTCTCAGCCTGCAAAACAAGTACATGTGAGTTTCTCTGAGCAGGCTGAGAAAGAGTTGCTTCAGATTTTGTGGACCTACAAAGAGAAAGGTCTCAGCTGTGCTGGTCCTTGAGATTAGCTTAGAAGCAAGCAAGCAACAGGCAATGCTTGTGGTCTTAGGATTTAAGGAGCTCAATATGGCACTTTGTTGCTGGCTGCAACATGCAACATCTGTTCTAGAAGCTATGATCTCTTGCTATTTTGTGTTCCTGAACTCTGGACATACCCTTGGACCTTGGCTTTGGATTCTGGTTCATCCTTGTACTCTGGACTCCTTGGTATTTGGCTTCTGACACAGAGGTAGATTTTCATAGCTGTGATTAAACCCAATCCAATCATTTTACCTCATTTTGTATTTGGTTTTTCATGTTAGGTATTGTATCATACCTAACATGATAAACATGATAAAATACACATCAAAACCTAACACAAGAAAGTACCTTCAGTTTCTCACTAGTTACCTTACCTGTCTCCCTTCCAGCTCAATCTGGAAGTTTTTTGCGGATTCTTGGGTCACTCTCCCTCCAAAGTCCAGCTGATAAACTTGTGTCGCCTCATTCCACAAGGGCTGCTTGTTAGCCATCACGTACACAAAGCCCTGGCTGCCCAGCCGTCCATCTTCCTTTTCATTTGCTTTTCGGCACTTAAATTCATCAAGTTCACTGGCTGTCCTCAAATTCCTTTTGGTTTTCCACCCCTTTTTACTGCCCTGGCTCTGATTCATCAGTTCATCCCCACTAATAAATAGTTCAGGCTCACTTTCTGAACTGTCCTGAAATTCATTCATTTTGTTCAGCTTTTTTGACTTCAGCTGGTCCTTCTGACTTTTGACTTTCTTCTTCTCTCTGCCCAGTCTAGGGCTAGATATCAGTGAGTTGAAATCGGTCAGCGTAGTCCTGGCCTCCTTTTTGACTTTCCCCTCTGTGATAGCCTGTACATTTCCTTCATCTGCACGGCTGTCCAAGCGTTTCCGGTTCTTTTTCCCAAACTTGTCTGTCCGTTGAGGGATGGGGCTCTCTGTCAACGAGAGTACTTCTTGGAAGTTATCTGCTGTCTCTGCCATGGCATCTGAGCCCACATGAGCCTGGGGCTCTGCTGGTGGTGGAGACATAACAGGCTTCTCCACCACCACCAGGGGCTTCGGCGGGAGAGTGCTTTGAGCACTCTGTGAGGGAGGTGGGAGGGTGCTGTAGGGATTCCATGGGTGCAAGGCCATCGGTGGCAGCTGTAAACTCGAGCAAGTGCTATTTCCAGGATACATGGGGGGCAGAGGGCAATAAGAAAGGTTGGAGGGATAACCTGGCTGAAGCACAACTGTTGGCTCCTGTTGTGCAATTTGAGGAGGGGCCAGACCTTCTTTGGGAGGACAGGGCACCTGCATTCCCTGAAGAGGTGGGGGCGGTGGAGGAGGGACACTGTAGCCCCCCACATAGGGTGCTCCAACCCCATAACTCATCTGAAAAGTGGCAGTGGGACTGGTTGGAGACTTGGGGGAAATAAATGGTGCCCGGGAGATATCCAGATGCTGAGCTTGGCCAATGACCAGAGGGGCAGATTTTACAGGGTGAGGCAAAGTATTTGCTGTCCTTTGTTGAGGAACCCATATTTCCTCACTCATCATAGGTTCCCACTGATAGGGAGGTGGTCTTTTCACACCAATGCTAGGCTCTGCCATGGGAACTGGAACGTGACGTACTGGCTTTTCCACAGGGCAGTGCTGAGAAAGAGCTTCATCTTCCATGAAGGCAGAGTTCACATAATCTGTCCGTTCATGAGAGTTGTCTGGTGGACCCAGCAAACTGTAGGAGGACTGGGAGGCCAAAGGTGAAGTACTGGCTGAGTGTGCAATGACAGAGTTGTGTTGAGAGCTGCTCCCCATTGTTATGTCCGATCTTACATTGCCAATGCTAGACGTGTTGTTGTTACTGTTAACACTGCAGATGTTCACATTTCCACTATTAGCAGCACTGCCACTGCTCCCGCTATTGGTGTTGCCACTGTTGCTGCACTGGCTGCAGGTGTACAGCGCTGTTGGCACCCTCTGTTGGTACTGGGCTGCCACAACGTTGCTCTTTAGTTTGGGTGGGAGCTGTAGAGTAGCTCTCTGGCTGTCAACCAGTTGAGCCATTTTCAGTGCTGCCTCCCTGCTATTCCTCCGCAGAGTGGCATGGATGATGCTGTTGTCCAGCCTTTGTGTAATGCCACGACCTTGAGACAGCTGGGCAGCAATCTCTGGGTAAGGCGGTGGATCCCCAGTGGGAATGGAGTAGCGTGGAACTGTAAGTCTGTTCAAGGTAGCGCTGGTACAAGGCTGCTGAATCTTCTTCTCGGATGAAGTAATCCTTAGTGTCGCAGAGCTGCCAGGCCCTGGCAGAGTGTAAGTATTCTGGGCACACAGCATCCGTGTCCGAGGCCGACATACTTCCTCAACATTCCCACTACTGTCAAAAGTGGTTATTCTCTCATAGCCTAGAGGTGTCTGATAATGTCCTGCTGGATAAAGTGGGAAGTCTCCTTTTTTCAAACAGAGGTCTACCGGAGGTTGTTGAGGTACAGGAGGAGGTGGTGGTGCTGTGGTAGGCGCTGCTGGTATGGTGCCTGGGTATGGCGGAGGGGGATTCATTTTGTTCATCTGGATTTCTTGGGCAGTGCTGAAAACAGACGCTTCTCCTTCAGCCACCTGTGGTACTGGGCGCAATATTTTGGCCTTTTGGAGGTGTTCGTGGTCCCTGTCCCCATCTCTGTGGTCCATCATTGCCATCTGGATTGCACCCTGGGGTGGCAGGGGTAACTGAGGGGGTGCCTGGATGATGCGCCCCATTTCTACTCCTCCAAAGATCACCTGGCCTGGGTTGGAGTACCTGCTTGGGATCGGATAGTGAACTGCATTATCATTCATGTGGTCTGCTGCCGCTACAGATGTTGTCTGGTTTGCAAGGACATCCAATTGTACATTCTGATTGGCCAATAAAGACTGAACAAGTCCTATGCTCTGAGTAGGTGACATTGCTTGTGCTGAGCTGTGAATAGGAGCAATTGGGATGTTTACGGTGCACGGTGGGTTGTTTTCGGGAATTCCAGATGCTCCAGTCACTATGACAAAAAACACATAGCATTATAAAGCATGCAAAAAGAACTTGTAGCCCAGTTGAAGCTACCTGAGAAAAAACATATGGTAGCATAAGATTTCACAGATCTAAGTCTATTCCATCAGAAGAATCATACAGAGTATTATACTATTACAGTTTTCATTTATAGTTTGTTGTCCACAGCAGAAATCTTTGGTTTATGCATCTGATTAGTTACGTTTTAAAAATGCCTGAATGTTTGTTAATCCATGATTAAGCAAATGTTATTGGTGGAGAGATGGGGGCATGAACAGATTGCTTCCCTGCCAAGAATGGGAAGCAAATCAAGAACTGGACATGGAAATACATACACTTTCTATTAAGCCATTCCACAAATCCTCCTTCCCCTCCTGCCCAATGGTTCTCTCCTTGAGTTTCAGATCTTAGTTGAAGGCAGGCATGGGCAAACTTTTTTGCCTTGGGACCACATTGGGGATCCAGCCAGGAGGGCTGGGCTGGGAGGGAGTTGGGTCGTTCATGGGCTGGATGGGCATGGGCCCAGGGAGGTAGGGTCCTGGAGAGGGCGAGACCAGGAGGGGGCAGGGCAAGATCTGGGTCATCCTCAGGTTGTCCTCACAGCATAAGGACAGGGCTGCTTGCTCCATCCTTATGCCAAAATGCAGTGACTGTCCCAATCCTTGGGGTGTCCTCTTGGCATTATGCCAGGAGGAAGGTAAGACAGGTGGTGGCTGAGAGTGCTCCGGAGGGCTCTCAGCCACCACATGCCTTCCTTGAGCTGTCCTCTCGGCATAAGGAAGGGTCCGCTCACACTATCCTTATGCTTGGAGGAGGGCGAGATATGCGGTGGCTGAGAGTGCTCCTGATGGCTATCAGCTTCTGTGGTCTGCTGTGTCCTTATGTCAAGAGGACAGGGTAAATGATGAGAGTCTGAGGTAAGCGCCCCGGAAGCCGCAGCTGGCCCCCAGGCCTTAGTTTGCCAATGCCTGGTTTAAGGGAAAACCAATCCTAGTAAATTTTGGAGTTAAGCGTGTAATTACAAGAAAGGGTCACCATGTCAGTACTATACATGTCAGTATGATCCAGGTTTTAATCTGAACTTGAAAGGAGCTCTCCAAGTGCTGAATCCTATTCCCCAAATAGATTTCACACCCTAGGTAGTTTTTAAGTTTAAAAAAAAATCAGCCCCCCCTCAAGAAGATCTTAAGGCTGTGAACTAAAACCAGAAATGGACAGTAATTTTGGCAATAATGAGTGCCCCTATTTCACTTAAATTACAGCTTATTAATTGTTATACTTAATTTCCACTTAGGTCAGCCAGAGATTAAGAAAGCTTTAAACAAGTCAAACAGGCCCTGTCAGACATGCAAGGAGAATCCAAGACAGTTCCCTTAACACCTTTAAGAATGCCTAAAGGGTTTTCCCACCATGCCTTTCCAATAAGAAACTCAACACAAGAAAGACACATATGGCACGTCTCTCAGTCATGCCTGCTCCTGATGATTTCATTGGAGGTATATTATTCATGGGCCTTTGAGTCAAATTTTCAGATGTAAGATGAAGCTAAAAACGAACAGGCTCCTGATTTTCCACCTTCTCAAATCATGACTACATATTTCAAGCTATTTAAAAGTACGCTGAGCCTTGGCCTTTTTTATTACAAGATGGACAAATTGCCCTTTGAGATCTAACTATACATAACTAACTATATATGCAAAGGGATCTTGTAGCCCTTCAGAAACTAAATTAATGGCATAAGGTTTTATAGACTAAGTCTACTTACTCAAACATGCGTCTACATGTAATTGTACATAACTGTATGCTACTTATATGTCTCACCTGGCAAATCATCTTCATCTTCACTAAAAACATTTGGGTTGAAAACAGGTAGGTTTATATAGTCCATGGAAATCTTGCGTACTTCTGGAAGATATATTGTCATTTGTCTGGGTTGAAGATGCAGCAAGCTGGTTTTATATATAACTAGAGGAAGGGAGCAAGAACAAAATATTTGTAAGATAGTAAAAGGTAAAGGTTTCTTCCATGGTTAAACAGAGATTTGAACCCTCATCTTGACAATCATAAGGAAAACATAACACATGCTGGCTCTTTCTTTGGTACTGAATGACTAACAGTGTAATGATAATAAAGGTAAAGGTTTCCCCTTGACATTAAATGTAGTTGAGTCTGACTCTGGGGAGGGGGCATTTCCATTTTTAAGCCAAAGAGCCGGCATTGACCATAGACACCTCCAAGGTCATGTGGCTAGCATGACTGCATGGAGTGTCGTTATCCTGTGGAACACCCTCCGTAACACACTTCCTGTCCTTCAGGAAGAAATTGAAATCATGGCTGTGGGACCAAGCTTTCAAGCAGCAGTCATAGCAGTACCAATTATAAATGAATCATGTGATTAACAATGGATGGATTTTCGTTTATGACTCTGGACTTGGACTTGTTTCTTTCAAATGGTCTTTTTAACTTTTAATGATGTTTTAACTAATGTTCAAGTGTATTTTTATTATTGTTGTTGGCATCTAATGGTTGCCAGTTGTAAGCCGTCCTGAGTCCCCCTCCGGGGGGGACTCCTTTACCCCCTCCGGGGGTGAGAAGGACAGGATATAAATGTCTGAAATAAATAAATAAATAAATAAATACCCTCTTGCAGAAGTAGTACTTATTGATTTACTCACATCTGCCTGTTTTACAGCTGCTAGGTTGGCAAAAGCTGGGCCTAACAGCGGGAGCTCACCCCACTCCCCGGATTCAAATCATCAACCTTTCAGTCAGCAAGTTCTGCAGCTCAGCAGTTTAACCTGCTGCACCACCAGGGGCTCCCAATAATCTCTGTATACTTACCCAATATGAGCCTCATTGAGATAAGATAAAAATATGTAAAAGAAAAGTCCAGTAGTATATAGTATTGTTTTCAAAATCAATAGAGTTCCTCTGTGAAAAGTATAACCATTTAAGAAAGAGTATTCAACTGATGGATGACCATATGCAATGTTTTCTTGTGTTCACACGAGAACAAAGGATGACGATGTACATAGAAAAAAGCTACCTGGATGGTGATGTACTTTCTATTTAGGAGTTCTACCAGCATTAAAAAATAATAATATATCCTAGAATGTGTATGGACAAGCTGTAGCTCATTAAATATTGCTGAGCTACACCTCTATTAACCTTAGCCAAAAGTTAGAAATAATGGAATTTGGTCCAACAACACTAGGAGAATCCCAAGTTCAGTTCCAAGTAAACGAGAATGGTCTTTCCTGAGTTCTATCACAGAACCAAACAAGTCTTAATCTCATCAGTGTCTGGAGGTGACTTTTTTTGGGAAGCCCACATCTAAGGAAGGTTACACATCTGACCAAATGAGAGAAAACAATCAAGTAGAAATGATTAAGGGAACTGCAGATAGAATTTTACAACCCGTGATGACAAAACTATAAAACAAATGGAATATATATAAATGGAAAATATATAAATGGAAAAGCAAAAACAGGTGGGATTGAAAGGAAGAGGGCTGCTATAAAATTAATCTTATAATACTTTGTCTGTGATTTGTTTGATTGATGGATTTCAAATGGAACAGATTTTTCTCTGAACGCCTTATAAAAGGAATCCAAGGGTATCAACATAAAATATCACTAAAATTTCAAAGAATTAATAATAAAAATCAACTATTTGCAGTGGTGTGAAATATTCTAGTATGGATTGCAACATTGTCAGATAGCCTTGATAGATTTAGTTGAGTTTCATTCCAAGGCATTCACAAGATTATTCATTTTGCAAAACTGTATCAAAAATCTGTTCATACCAACTTCATAAAAAAAAAACTATGGTTAAGGATATTGTCTCTTATTCCCAAGATACTCAATGGGACTCCATGAAACAGTGTAGAGCAAAAATTTCAATATAAGAATGGGTTTTAAAATCCTTAGTTTGTAACATTGTGAACACATTTACTTTGGAGTAAGTCCTACCAAACTGATTTAGGACCTGTCAATAAATCTGCAAAGATTTATGCTGGCCATAGTTTTTCTGCTTGCTTCACATTAGGATTAGGTGACAAGTGGTAAATACTGTATTTCATCACATACTGGTCACCATCACATAATAGTCATACACTATGGGTCCCGGTTTTGTTTTTTATAATTCCTTGCATAATAGTCACACCCTTAGTTCACAAGGTGTGATTATTATGTGAAGGCAGCAACTCTCTGTACCTTGGAGGAAACAGGTGAGAAAGCCAATAAACCCACCTGTTCATCTATCTCTCCCCTCTGAAGCTACGCTGCGCAGCGGGTAAAATTCACCTGCCCACATGGCCGCACCCTCCAAGAAACTATTACATGGTGAAAAAGCCCTCCAAAAGGGGCTTTTTAAAGCCATGCAATAATAGTCGCACTACCTTCCTCCTCCAAATGGGGAGGGGATGTGACTATTATGTGATGAAATATGGTATTACTACAAAAACATTAATGCTTGTTTCAAGTCAGTAAGGGACAGAAATGAAGAAAATGTAAACAGTTTACCTGCACCAAGATTGGTTGGAAGAAAAGCAGCCAAACCTACAATTTTGAATTTGGTTCCCCAGATGTTTGATGTGACCTGAGCAAGATAGTTGTGCTGCAATGAAGAGCCATAACAAAAGGCAAGGTTGTTAGTTTATTTATAATTTAGCACTCTTTCCCACAGTCTTATTATCAGTATTGTAGTCGCCATATTGAAGATGGTGACCCTGCAGGAGTATCTTCACTAAATATTATAGAGGCGAGATATGAACAAGTGCGAGGTCCACAATATAAATGCCCCTCTATATTATTCAGAAGTTCATCTTCTATGTTAATACATTTTCCATGTTGAGGATCATTTCAGAAAGGCTCACAGATAGTTTACCTGAGTGATATCTTCCAAAGGAAACTCCCGACGAGTTAGACTTGGTGAACCTATGGAAGGCTTTCTGATGGGGAGCCGAGGAGATCTTGATATTTCCTGGGAAGCCCGTGACAACTTGGGAGATTTGCGAGCTTCTATGTTAATTCTGCACAAAATACCAAAATAAACCATAATCAGAAAACACAAATAAACATTGTCTGGCACTCTGTAAAACAGAATGTGGAAGATGATTATAGTTGGGTTGCGATTAAAATGGCAACAGACTTCTAAAAGATAATTTGCTGCAACGATAATTTAAAAAGTGAACTCATTGTGATATCTGACATCCTTTGACCAAGTGAACTCAATAGTGGCTCAGACACTAATCTCCCCATTCTTCTGGAAAGTAATTTTTTTTGGACTATGTCATCTTTGGATTCAGGAGACTGTAGTCCAAAAGGGCAATTTTCTTATACTGTTCCTTTTCCTATGTATTTTTTTCTTTTAATATACTGAATATATATTTCATTTTATCTCCCCCTTATTATTTATTTTTCCCTTATTATCTAGTGACATCACAGGAACTCAAACAATTGGCATCTTCTGCTTCTGTTGGAAATCACAACCTTCTCAAGCTTCCACTAGTTGTTTGTTACGTTTACTGTATTGTATATGTGTATTGGTTTGCAATTTAACCTAACCTCTTTGTTGTGGGAGAGGCTGCAGACCATGTGATCAGGTCTGGACATGTTCAGGATTAAGACTCCATTTTAGATCAGTTTTTGCTTTGAGAAGCCATATAGAGAAGTGTGCGTTTGCATCAGAAGCTTAATACAGCTGTACAGTTTAGACTTCAGTAAGATGTATGCTTAAAGACTCCTTTGGACTATGAACTACTGATTTTAAGGAAGATGCTCTGTGTTACTTATACAGAGAAACTACTTAAAATCCTATTGTAACTGGATTCATAAGCAAAGTGCCTATATGCCAGTGGTTCTCAACCTGTGGGTCCCCAGATGTTTTGGCCATCAACTCCCAGAAATCCTAACAGCTAGTAAACTGGCTGGGATTTCTGGGAGTTGTAGGCCAAAACACCTGGAGACCCACAGGTTGAGAACCACTGCTCTATGCATGAAGTTTGTGAGTAAACCAACTCTGTTTCTTTTAAAGAGGACTGTTTATTTTGTATCTTGGGAGCATGTTTTTAAGGGAGAGTAGATATTTTTAGGCAACTTCAAAGAACACTTCTAAAATTCTGCTAAATATGTATTTTGTGTACTGGCATGTCTTTGTCTCTAGCAATTCAAAGACAGCCCTAGGTACATCAGTCTAACAGCTGAGAGACCTAGTTGCTTTGCAGGAATGTTGGAGAACATCACTTTTCAAAAAGTTGTGACTTTTAACAAGGTCATGCCTTTCCAGTGGCTAGTGATTTTCCAAAAAGGTTATGACTCCAATTTCCCAAATGGTTATGGAGATTCACATTTGCCAAAAGGTTATGGCGTCATTTTGCCAAAAGCTTCAACTTTGCAAGTTGGCTTTTGTCTTATACCTTGAAAATGGAAAGGAGCCGATTGTCAATATTCAATGTAACAGGACAGATCCTAACCAGACCCTGCTACTAGAAAAACATTATTATCTATTGCCCCCATGCATACTAAACACGGACCCAGTTCCAAGCACTATAATAGCTGTGATTGTTAGACTATGAAATATGGGCATACCTAACACAGGTCGTTCTGCAGAATTTTTTAAATAAAAATGTTTTATTTTAATACAACCAATCAATCCACACTTGCTGTAGTTAGGGGCATGGGTTCTCTGCAAAGGCAGTGAAACCATTGTCTATTTCAACCTTATGGTATTTCAAACTGGCAACACTAAAATTCCTCAAAGCAGTTCATTTCCTGTGAACTGCGTAAAGATGCCCCCCTTTGTTCCAGCCCTAAAGGATGCCCTCTTGACATAGCAACAACTTTGAAGATGGGAGTTTACCTGGGAAGTTTGGGTGATTTGCTAGCTCGAGTGATTTTGGGGGACTTTTTGGCAGCCCAATCATCACTCAGTTCAATATCGCTGGAATCAGAGCAGTTGCAGCTGTCAATCACACTGGAAATCAAACTGTTCCCATAGATTTCATCTGTCAGCACAGGCCCCGCAAAAAGAAAGAAAGAAAGGATCATTTCCGAAAGAAATCCCAGTTACAACTATCTATCAATCATCTTGCAAGCAGTATCTGAGATGCCACTGCAGCAATTAGCACCTGGAATCCTTTGAAACTAATGCAACCTGAAATCAAGTAAATAGTGCTCTATTATGCTAGTTGACAGATATATTTCCAAATCCAAGGGGAAAATATGTCCACAGCTAATTACACTCTTTCTTCTCCCATCAGGACACAGAGTATTATAATGTATTACAGATGGCACAGCTTGCAAGACACCTATTGCCTCCAGTCTAATCCAGAATGACTGATAAGACAAAAAAGAAAAGAAAATGGACACCAGTTCTCTGATAGATAGAGCAGTTCTGTGGAATTAACAGGATACTGATCTCTGCATCTTGATTGAATATGTTGTTTGAGGTTCAAAAACTGTAAAATGCACATGGATATCCACAATATCCAGCCAATAATTCATATTGATACAAAGTAGAGCTAGAGGTGAGTTGGGGGGGGGGGGGTTGCATTTAAAGATCTGCCTCTAGAATAAAATAAACAATATTTGTACAAGAAATCCTTGGGCAAATTTGAATCCATCCGAACATCTGCATCAAATTGCCCAAAACAACAACAACAACAACAACAACAACAACAACAACAACTTTATTTGCACCCGCCACCATCTCCCTGAACAGACTTGGGGCGGCTCACAAAAGCACTCAATAGTGCAAACACACAAAATACAACAAGTGCATAAAAATAGCACAATAGCAATAACAAATAGCAAAACAAATCTAGAAATAACCTGCTAAAAGCTTTGTACCTGCTTTTCCATCTGTTTTAGGATCCATGATGACAAACTCAGGCCGCAGTTTGCTAATCCGCCTTCCTTTCAAGATAGGCACCAGACCTCCCAAGTATTCCAAGTACAACGTATAGCAAGGCCCTCCAACCTCTGGATCATCTTCTGTCCTCTTCATTGTGCAGTGAAGCCTTTCGTTGCCAGATGTTGGGTAGCTAACAAAATCTCTCATGTTATTGGGATCTGGGATAGGAGGCTGAGTTAAAATATAAAAGGAGGGGGGATATTATTCACAGAAACAGTTCTCCCTCCACTCAACACCTTTACAGTTACAGAAAACAATTTAAGGGAGATGTTGACAAGCTAGAATGTGTCCAGAGGAGAGTGACTAAAATGATCAAGGGTCTCAAGAACAAGTTCTATGAGGAGAAACATAAAGAGTTGGCTATGTTTAGCCTTCAAGAGAAGGCTGAGAGGAGACATGATGAGGGCCATGTATAAATATGTGAGGGGAAGTCAAAGGGAGGAGGGAGCAGACTTGTTTTCTGCTGCCTGGAGACTAGGACGTGGAACAATGGCTTCAAACTACAGGAAAGGAGATTCCACCTGACCATTAGGAAGAACTTCCTGACTGTGAGAGCTGTTCAGCAGTGGAACTCTCTATCCTGAAGTGTGGTGCAGGTGCTTTCATTGGAGGCTTTTAAGCAGAGGCTGGGTGGCCATCTGTTGGGGGTACTTTGAATGAGATTTTCCTGCTTCTTGGCAGGGGGTTGGACTGGATGGCCCACAAGGTCTTTTACAACTTTATGATTCTATGATTCTATGAAACCAATCCATTATCACTCTGAAATACTCTGAAAATATTTTGAGTTCTTGGCCAGAGGACTCTAGTACCTCCTCAAATTACAAATTGCAAGATTCTGCAGGCTCTTACAAAAGTACCAAAGTCCTTGAGTCCCTTTGGGGAGATAGGGAGGTCTACAAATAAATCATCATCATCATCATCACCACCACCATCATCGTGTAGTATGAAATATACATTACTCCTACTGTGTTTTTCCTCCTTTTGCCACTGTTTATGACAGAATATTAAAACTACAAAAGAGCAATAGCAAAATGGAGAAAATGCTTTGTACAGGACAGGAGTAGCCTGGAGGGCTCCCCTTGCCAAGTGGGCCTTGCCAAGAGGGCTCCCCTTACTTTTCTTTTCCTGGGGGGAACTGAAATGTTATAACCCATCTTTTATTGCTCTTTGTCCCTGCACCACACATAGCCACAAAGGCTATTCCTCTGCCTGCAATGATATCTTCAATTCTTCTCAAATGACAAAATAAATAATGTAGACTCTGTGACTTTAACATTGCCATTTTTTCTTGTTCTGATTTTTTAACATCTTTACCTCATAAAAAAAGAAGCTTCAAAAAGTTGGATGATGTACTCTGTGCTTTTTAATTGACCCAATACAAGGTTTTTGCTCTTTTGTGAATTTTGCTGTCCTGAATATGTTTAAGACAGAATTCTCATCCATGATGTGTTGCCTTCAGTTGTGTTTACCTTGATCGTTGGTGTAAAGGCAGTGGTGAGGTATGAGCACAGGCGTGGAGGCAGGGTGAGTTTACTGATATCTTTGTCATCCCGCAAGGAACTAGCAATGGTCTGTTGGCACAAGAGCTGCAAGCTGGACACTCTGTGCTCCACTCTGACAACATACAGGGCAGGGCCAGATGCCATGAGCAGGCGCGAGTCCCTGTGGCCCCAGCAGATGGAGATGATAGGGCACTGTGAGGAAAAAATAATAATAATATTTGAGATGTTTTTCTGTCAACGAAACACATTTTCTGTAGCATACATCACACAGGCTACAGCACCTGATTTACAGAGCCAAGCTGTATGTTCCAACACCACTAGTGTATTGCAACTGTATGTATGTGCCTTCAAATCATCCATCAACTTATGCTGAACCCATGACTTTCAAAGAGTTTTCTCAGGGACTTAGGTGTGGTTTTGCCAGTTCCTTCCTCTGAAATAGAGCCTACTGCATTGTAGACTTTTCCACTTGGAGCCCCTTTTGGCCAAACTTTTTAAAGCAACCTCAGGTATATAGGTATATGTAAGTATGTATATAAAACAGGTGTACAATCAAAGAGTTAGTGAACAGTGTGAAGCAAGGAACTCACAGGGAACAAAAGTTAAAGTCTTTAAGGAAAGACTGCTTGTCTAAACAGCTAAGCCTCAAGTAACCACATTACGCTTTTGTACCACTCTTTTTAAGAGTTGATTTGTTCACCAAGTTTAAAATAAACCTGTTTGAATTTCATCTTAAACTGGTGTCTGCCTCGGTCTGTCACAATCATTAGATCTCAGCTAGTCTAAAGACAACTCAATTTCAGTCCAGTCAGTAAGAGAAGCAGCCATTGAAGAAGAACAAAGGGCTTGAACCTAGTTTACCAATTTCACATTCACACTTATGTTTTCCTCAGACATTAATTGAGGTGGTGGCGGCGAATCTACCTAATACATCGGTCATTAACAACGTTAATACAGTTGGTCACTCAACAATAGTACTGAGGTGGGATAAGAGAGTCTTTCCCCCTTTGTCACAGCCATTTTATCCTTGTTAAAGTAGTGTCCAGCTGATCGTTAACACCTTTAAACTGGTGGGCAGTGGGTGTGATTGTTTGTCCCCCCTGCCAAGCGGTCCTTGATCTCCTTTATACGCTACAATGGCCCCAACAACTGTTCAGGCCTCTCCCATATATAAATTACATAGATGCTCTTGGTAATTTTGTGTGTTGATAAGTTAGTTCTGAGGGACAAAGGTTTACCTGTACAGGTGTCTCCAGAGTGTAGATATGTTCTCCAGTAATATTGTAGAACTTGACGAGTGCACTTTTCAGAAAAGAAGCTCCACTAAGTTCAGCTAGTTGGCTTAGCCTTTCCATTCCTGCTACAGCCAATAAGTCTCCTTGCGTACACCACTGAGCAACTACATCTAAAACGAGAAGAGGTGAAGGCTCATTTTGCAAATAAAGTCAGCCCTAAACATATATAATTACCCTTTAGATTGCATAGGCTTCTTATCATAAACAAAACTTCAAATGGTAATCCATCCATCCATCCATCCATCCATCCATCCATCCATCCATCCATCCATCTATCTATCTATCTATCTATCTATCTATCTAAGACCTTCACAATTTGGAAGTAGTAAGTGACTGAAATTAAATAAGCTAAACATCTTGGGTACGCAGACAACACCTCACTCTTCAAGTCAAAGTATAAGTAATTATCTATTATGACAGCTGTTGCTGGATGCTTCATTTCTCTACTAGCCGCACCAACTCCTAGTTCTCCCATCTTACCATCAAGTTCTTACAATTTGTAAATCAAGATATAAATCTGAAACCAGACAATCACTTATAACACTATGGGTAGCACAAGTTGGCAAAGATTCAGTATGAATTCCAGAGGCATATAAATGGGTCTCTCTACATTTGCCTAGGAGTACTTTGATATCACGTTAACTGTTGTGGTTGCATTGCAGATAATCCTGGGATTGCAGTTTCTCAAGAGATTAAGTGCACATCTACATTGTAGAACCAATGCAGTGTGACACCATTTTAACTGCCATGACTCAATGCTACAGGATTATGGGACTTGTGGTTTTATAATATCCTTAGCCTTCTCAGCCAGACTGCTGATGCATCACCAAACTACAACTCCCAGGATTCCATAGCACTGAGCCATAGCAGTTAAAGTGGAACGAAATGGCCTGAGGTTTCTTTTAAAGCTCACCTGTGATTTCAGAGGCATAATTAAGCTTTCAGTGAAATATGCCATTCTCTATATACCTAATTTTAACAGTGTGCGCAGTACATGATTATGAAGAAGGAGGGAAGGAACTGCTGCCATTTGAACACTGAAATTTGAAAGTGGGGCATTAAAAGTAGCGATGCTGCTTGTTACCCAGTACTGATTTTAATCATTAACTAATTTAAGCTTCCAGCTCTATTGTGAAGTATCACTTCAAACTAAAGTAACTTTAAAATAGTTTACAAAACCATTAAAAATAAATAACAAAGCCAAATAATCATCATCATCATATTTATTTGTATCCTACTTTTCTCCGGGACCCAAAGCGGCTCACAACATTTTAAAACAATACAAGTAAACCATACATACAACAATAATCTATAAAACCAACTTTACAATAACGAATAAATAAACATTTAAAAAAACATTTAGCAAATACAGTTGTTGAAGGAAATTCATCAATACAGACTTAGCACGACTCACTGAAAGTTAGCTTTTCTGTCATTCCAAATTAAGTATCTTCATTAAAAGCTTGTGTGAACAGGAAGGTCTTTAGCTATTTTTTTTAAAAAAGAGCCATTGCATAAAGTTGGAAGTTATTTTGAAAAGCAAAAGACCTGCATTTTCTACAGTGAACACCTGAGAACACAAAGCACACTCCTAAATTAATTCAAATAGAATCCCGTATTTCGGTTTTGCCTGTTCACCAGAAGGTGTCACTCGTTCCTGTTAACATAAACCATTGCAAAGGGATGCTAAGCTTTCAAGAGACAGATGCTGAAATATTCATGTAAGAGCAATCAAAATTTAAAATGGAAGAAATACTGGATGGAAGTGGATATGAAGATGTCTCCCTTTCATACCTTTCAACCCTGAACGGATGATGGTCGGGGACAAGTCGTCATAGTTGTTCATCAAGCTAATGTCTCCCGATGTGAAGCTGACAGTGAGCAGGGGTTTGGTGTTCTGAACCAGGACTGGATATGAAGCTGGACCATCTGCCAAGGGAAAAAGGTATTTTGGAAAATGAAACAGAATTCAAGGACAGATTTTCAGCTCCTTAAAAGCTATTGGCACTATCAATTGTGTCACCAAGTGGCAACCTTCCCATCATACCTTTTGATTGTTAAGGAACAAGTCCCAACTTCATCGCACAGTCCATAGTGTTCTGTGACTACCACAATTTTTGAACCCTCAATAGTCCTTAAAATACAATTTCCTCCCACCATAGACCCATCTATACACTCAGTGTGGGTTCTATTTCTTGCTACCACTGATTCAGAAACATTAGTCATACTAGTCAGTTTGCCTTCCAAGAGATCCTCTGGCATTGCTGTTTCCCCATTTCTAGGAGTACAATCTATTCCTGGGGGATGGACAAGGTATCTTCAGGGACATGACTAGTCCTGAAGTGTAAAGATAGATCATTGAAGAGCATGGTTTGGATTGTTAATGTGAAACCTGGACATTACTCATTTGAAATATGGTGCTGGAGAAGCATTCTGTGGACTGATAACTGGAGCTAACGGTTTAGCTGCACTGAACTGCATTATACAGCAGTGTAGACTTATATAAAGCAGGTCAATGCAGTTAAACTCCATTATGAAACTGTGTTATATAGCAGTGTAGATAAGACCTGAGCCTTAGATGAAATCAAGCCTGACCTTGCCCTCAGGAGTTTCCAAGCTTGCAAGAGGTAATGAATATCACCTGTCTCATTAATCTGTAGTTGTTATGTACCTTCAAGTCAACTCTGATTCACTGTGCCACTATTAATATGGTTTTCTCGGTGAAGCTTATTCAGAGGAAGTTTGGCACTGACTTCCTCTAAGGCTCAGAGAGTGTGAGTTGCCTGGCAGTTTTAATAGCCAAGCAGTGATTCGAACCCTGGTTTCCTGGACTTTGGCCATTATTATTAACTTAATATTTTAAAGGTATAAGTTGTTAAATTTTCAAAGGTACAAGTGTTTGTTCTTAAGGTGAATTTGTATGTAAGTCAATACAGGTACATTTTTATGTGTAACTCCCGCCATACATACACACACACACACACACACACACGCTTTGAATAGCATAGGGTAGGGTTAACACCACTCTTGTGTTTGTTTTGCTGTCTGTGCTCCTGTTCAAAAGATTTCACCTCACTTTTTGTCTCTGTGACAAATGGATTTTGAAACAATTGGCTTATTGTGGAAACAAGGATTAAAGATAAAGCTTCACTATGATAATTCTTCCAGGAGAGTATATCCATTCCAAGGAGTAAATTTCTCTCCTGTTGTCTTATCCCCATTCTTAACTATGAATCATTTGTAAGTTGGATGTTTTTAACTCGGGGACTGCCTGTTCTATTAAAGTTTTCAAGCACATATTCCTATTTCCTTCACAGGCATCGAATTTATGGTTAAAATCATTGCATGATAGTTTATCAGAAACAACATTTTGCAAAGAGATAAGACTATTGCCAGTCTTGCCTCTTGAAGATACTTTTAGGAAACGTGTAATTTCCTCAGGTGTCCAAACTGATGACTTCATAGTAGTGAAACACATTTGCTCCACTCAGTGAAATCCTCACTAATGGATGACACCAACTAACATCAATCCTCACTGATGATGGAGCATAACAATGGGCCCTGAGAACGCAGAAACTGGCCATCTTAGGCCACATTTATAATGCCATTACAATGCAGATTGAATTGCATTATGTGATCAGTGTAGACTCATAGAATGCAGTTTAATTCCGTCGGACGGGATTATATGACTCTGCACTGACCATATAATGGTTACTGAATGTAATGCATTAATTTTTAATTTCATTTTAATATTATTGAAATTGTATGTTGCTCTAAGGCCTATATGTAAGCCGCCTTGAGTTCCCTTTGGCGTTGAGAAAGGCGGGTTAGAAATAGGGTAACTAAATAAATAATAAATAATGCAATTCAATCTGCATTATAATGGCAGTGTGGATGGGACATATAACTTTGTCTAGTTGTATGTCACTGTACAAGAGGGCCTCAACTGTATGAACTCATTCTCCAGTGTTCACAATATCGTTCTTTGTGTTCCATATTTAACTGCCTACAGCACCAGCTGTGGGCTTCAGAATTTAGTTCTTTGTCTATAACCTGTTTAGACAGAAGGAGCTACTATCCTAAATGAAAGGCATTCTCAGGACGCTAGCTACGTGTACTCTAGTTAATCATACAGGTCACATTGAGCTAGAACAGAACATTATCATTCATGTGATTATCTCCTGAAATGAGACAATGGAGATACAAGAAAAGTGTCCTTAGGAGACAATGTTAAAAACACCACATTTGGCGCATTTTGCAGGCAAGGGGAATTCAATCAACCCCCTCACAATCAGCTGCATGAGTCAAAGGCATGCCTCTTTTGAAAGGTTTCTGAGGAACATGCACTACTTTGCAAGATCATATTAGAATAATCATGAGAAGCATGCCATGTACCAAGTTCACCCACTCCTGATTGACTCAGCACTGTTTACCCATTTGCCTACTTTAGTCATCAACAGGGATGCATCAGATGTTACAAGTGTCCCACACAGAACTGCAAATCAATCTCATGACAAACATAAAACCATAACAATCACATAATTAGGATATACTTTGATGAAGGAAAACCCCAACACTGGAAGCTACCCCCTTTTCTAGAGAGTACATAATATATAATGGATACACACTGGAGTTTGGTTTCAGGGCCCTCCGTGGATACCAAAAGGTGCCAATGCTCAAGTCCCATTATATATAAGGGTACTTTCAAAATGTTTAGAATTGCAAAATCGATATTTGCTTTTTGGAATTGTCTTTTGAATGTTTTCAAGTCATTGATGATTGAACCAGAGGATGGAGGACTGACTATATTATTTCTTGTGAAGACAGGCTGTGAAGACAATACCTTTCTCACTTACCACTACTAATCATTAGGAAGACTTTTTTGTTTCCACTCTCTTTGAATGTAGGATGATAGACTGAGGGAACACTGGACCTGGGACCTCCCAGTTGGAAATAGACCAAACAATTTAAGACAGCCATATCCTTTTCAAAGACCACATTCCTTAATAATAATAATAATAACAACAACAACTTTATTTATATACTACTCTATCTCCCCTAGGGGACTCAGGGTGGTTTCCACACATGAAATAACACAGAAAAGTTATACAAAGTATTCAAAACATAGACACAAAATTATTAACACAAAACATATACATTAAAACCAGTTCAACACTTTTCTATCATATGGAATGAGCTGCTAGGGGGCGGAGTAGTCAAGGGGCCTAGACCATCTAAGGGGGGCTGGGCCGAGATTAGTGCAGATCAATGTAGGGCTGGGGAGATGGAGGTAGTGCAAGGAAGCGATCCTAACAGTGACCACAGTGGGGCCTGGGGCTACATTTCCAGGACCTATTAATGGACTATGAGAGGGACTGAGCAGAATGAGTACTCTGAGATGACAGGGGGTCAGGAAAGAGAATGAAGAGCAAGGTTGAGACCTAGCTAAGGCCTGGGGACTGGCACTAGTAACTAGTCATTCTCAAAGGCATGATGAAACCACCAAGTCTTCAAGTTCTTGCGAAATGAGGAAAGTGATGGAGCCTGTCTTAACTCTCTGGAAAGGGTGTTCCAGAGGTGGGGGGGCCATCACCGAGAAGGCCCTCTGCCTCGTCCCCATCAGCCAAGCATGAGACGTCGGTGGGAGCGAGAGAAGGGCCTCCTCAGAAGATCTTAGGGTATATGCCGGTTCACAGAGGTAGATGCGATCACGGAGAGGGGGGGGGGAAGGGCCAAACCACTTCAAGAAAGTACAAAATGAACTATACTTTCCACTGTTAGTTAAGCAGGAATTTAGGAACAGACTGGCAAACCATGCCTAATGAAATAATCTTTACAGCTTATCATATGAAAATCATAAATTTACTTCCACAGATGTCTTGAACATCCTTCTTCTTTCTAAGCTATTTCATCAATGGAGGGAAATTCAGATAATGAGATGAATGATAAAGGATGCAATGGACACCCAATGTTGTAGAGCTAGCCATTTTTACCAAAAGGGCATTCAACATGGCTAGCAATAATAAAATTTATTAGCTAGATCTTGCCATGCAGATTTCCTTGAGAGATACTGGCTTGCATATTGGTAAAAGCATTACAATATCAATGAAAACTTATAGACATCTGTAGTCTAAATTCTCATTGAGGTGATAAATCTACATGTTGCTGGTGTTTAATTTTGGAAAAGCAAATGTTTGTCATCTGCCCACCAGCTTGCCCTACCCATTCCATCTGATAGAAATTTAGATATTTGAGTTCTTGACAAGATTTGTCTGGCTACTGTATGTGCAACAAGTATTATGTATGAAGGAATAAGAGCATTCCAAATCAGTATAATCAAGATTCAATATTTACATCTCAGCGAAAAGCAGGCCACTAACATTCAAAGACCACGATATCAAAGCAAATCACCTTGTGGTGGGGAATAATCATCGGAATCAGTGTCACTCTCGCTACTGTCTTCGACCAAGAAGCTTGGGTAGTTCCAGGACATGCTAAGGATGCCGTCAGACTCATGAAGGAGAACGTGTGCTAGCATTCGGCCATGGCAGTCCATGACAATCACCTGTCCATCTGCTGTGCCAAACAGGACCTAAAAGAAAATAAATGGAAAGGAGAAGCATTTTTAAAAATATGAACAAGACATTTCCTTCTGTTTTAGTATCTCTTTCTCACCTCTAATCACAGCTAATCTATGACAAAAGCCCTTCTCACATGGTATCTTTCCACCAGAAGAGGCCTTTGATTTAGTTACATGTTCAGACATGTTTCCATGCTGTGGATTCTAAAATGGCATAATCTGGTAAAGAAATACCGTAAGACATTTTAAATTTTTAGTGGCGTCCCATGGCACAAAATTATTTACTTAAATGGAAAATTATGAGAAATTTCAAGCAGACAGTGTTCTGGCTTCAAAATAATTAGCACATTGGAGTCAAAGCTTGTAAGCCAGCAACACTTTAAAGATGGTTGTGGATTATGACAATGATGGAATACTCCACCAATGCATCGCCAACCACGTGAGGGCAACCAGATGCCTGTCCCTGCAGCAAAGCTGGCAAAAAATCAATATGAATTAATCAGGTGGAACTAGAGCATTACAGCCCAGGTGAAAAAGCAATGTGATGAGCTCAAAAACAACCAATAAAGGGAAGTTTCAACCCACAATGTCAAACATAGAATGGATGAGGCAAGGTTTTAATGTTGTTTAAAATAGCAGTTAGGAGACAGCCCAGGTACAGCATCTCAGATAAGAGATACTATAACCTACAGACACCTTCCCCTGGAGCATGTTTTGTTCCCTGATGTACTGAAAAGTCTATGTCTTGCACATTTCATAGCTTTTAAAAGATGTGCAGCATAATTTAGGAGAGCAAACCTGACACCTTTCCACTGGCACACCGGGAAAATTCAACTCTGGCCTATACTCCTACACACACATATTTGCACTGTACTTTCACTCCACTAAAACTAATGGGCTGTCTTTCACATGAATATTTTTAGGATGTTGCATTGCTGATTTATTTAAATTACCTGTTGAAAACTTCAATATAGACAGAAATCTCCCTCTGTCTATTTAAAGAAATGAAAATGACAGATGAAACTTTTGGTGGCATGTTGTAAATAGTACTTGCAGCATAAAACTCAACCTCATCCTTACTACAGAGCAATGTTACTCAACCTGGGGGTCGGGACCCCTGGCGAGGGGGTCAAGAGGGTGGTTTCAAAAGGGTCGCCAAAGACCATAAGAAATATGTATTTTCTGATGGTCTTAGGAACCCCTTTGGCAGATAAGGCTGAAGATCTTTACCCCTGTACTTCTCTTACTTTTTGGTGTTGGTGAACTACAACTCCCAGAATTCAAAAATAGCCCTTCAACCCCACCAATATTCAATGTTGGCCATGTAGGTAGTGTGCCAAGTTTGGTGTAGATCAATTGTGAGTTGGGTTCAGAGTGCTCTTTGATTGTAGGTTAACTATAAATCCCAGTAATTACGACTTCCAAATCTCAGGGTCTACTTTCCCCAAACTCCACCAGTGTTCACATCAGGGCATATTGAGTATTCGTGCCAAGTTTGGTCCAGTTCCTCATTGTTTGAGTCCACAGTGCTCTCGAGATGTAGGTGAACTACAACTCCAAAACTCAAAGTCGATGCCCACCAAACCCTCTCAGTATTTTCTCTAGATCATGGGAGCTCTGTGTGCCAAGATTGGTTCAATTCCATCATTGGTGGCATTAAGAATGCTCTTTGATTGTAGGTTAACTATAAATCCCAGCATCTACAACTCCCAAATGACAAAATGACTAAAGCAACCATTTGATGACTGAAATGCAAAGCAGAACCATCAGATAGGTAGATTCAGGCTGAAATTTCAGGTAGAATCTACCTGGTAAATATCCCAAATCTAGAGGGCAAGTTCTCCAACAGCAATTGCTGTAAACCAACAATTAAAAATACTGAATTCCATTTTTACATGGCTCATAATCAAGTTTAAAGCATAACTGGGGCATGAGTTCTAGATTCCTTTGCTTTGTTGTTTATTCATTCAGTTGTTTCTGACTCTTCGTGACCTCATGGGCTAGCCCACAGCAGGGCTCCCTGCTGCCCGTTGCCACCCCCAGCTTTTCCAAGGTCGAGTCAATCACTTTAAGGATGACATCCATCCACCTTGCCCTTGGTCAGCCCCTCTTCCTTTTTCCTTCCATTCTCCCCAGCATCATTATCGTCTCCAAGCTATCCTGTCTTCTCATTATGTGGCCAAAGTACTTCATCTTTGCCTTTAATATCCTTCCCTCCAGTGAGCAGTCAGGCTTTACTTCCTGGAGTATGGACTGATTTGATCTTCTTGCAATCCTAGGCACTTGCAACATTTTTGTCCAACTCCACAATACAAAAGCATCTGTCTTCCTTCGCTCAGCCTCCTTTATGGTCCAGCTCTCACATCCATAGGTTACTACGGGGAATACCACTGCTTTAACTATTACCTTTTATATTTGCTTTACAGAAAACTATCACAGAACTCCCGGGTGAGAAAATAAAAATGATATGGATTTTCAAAAGAAATCTTCTTTTTTTCAAAGTTTTCAAAACACAGTTTTTATCTTGAAAACAGCTGCTTTTTTCAAATGGTTACTTATCAATCTGGTATCAAGATTCTTGGTGAGAAGTGCATGTCTTTGGGGTGCCATTTGACTGCAATTCCTATGAGCCATAATCCACATAGCCAATGGTGAGAAATGATGGGATCTGCAGTACAAAACCATCTGGGTTGATGCATTTTCTTCTCCTCTGTCGTACAACTTCATCAGCCTTCCAGTGTCTCATATTCTTCTGTGAATATTGTCTGAGAATGCACTCTATTTAAAGAAAAATGTAGTGATGCCTTTCTCCCTTTGTACCACTAAATGCACATAATCTTGCTACAGTTTGCAATGGATGAAATGATGTAATAATATGGCTCAATTTAAATTAGAATTTTTAGTTTTACTGTGTCAAAAATATTTGGTCTGTGGCGTTCGACAACACTGGAAAGCAATTTGTTTCTAAAGCCAAGAGACGGAACAATGACTGTGTTGAGGATGCTAGAAAGCTTTGTGGAGTCTCTTCATACATAATGAACATTTTCATATTCCTAACTGACTTAAGAGTGAAGCTTACAATAGTTACTTAAGAAAACGGAAGAAAAGGCCAATATCCCAATTAGCCTAATTTCTTTCTTTCTACTGGATCTATTTGCTGTTTCTTGGGGACTCATAAACACTAGACAACTGAGCAAGTAGCAAAGAATGTTATCCGTTTACATAATTTATAACTGTATAAAAGGGAGCAAGTATCACTAAAATATGTCTAATCATTCTAAATATAGAAAGAAAGCCCTGTATCCAGTCCAAAAGTGCAGCAGCAGAACATGAAACATTCATAACGCTCTTAGCATGAGCAACCGGAGATCATTAATTTTAAATGACAGAACTAACACAAAACCCTGAAATAATTCTAAAAATAGTCTAAAATATTATATAGTGGAATGTTTTGTTTCTACTACAAGAGAATCACTTGTAATACCAGCCCAGGTCTTCTTTGATTGCTACACTTTAATTTTACAGATAGTACTGCTATTGGCTACTACAGGACCCTTTATGCAAGCAATTTTGCCATTGTCTCTATTTCGCGCAGCTTAAATGTACTGTCTAATTAATTAGGGGGGCTTCTTCCTACTTGCTGTGTAGTATGGCCATAACAATTAAAACTATAACAAGCATGTAAGCTAGGATGGAAGTTGTAGTTTTGTCCACTAGATGGGAAAATCAGTATTTCTTGGCTTTGGAAAATAGGTCTCAATCTCTAAACAGAACCTGAGGGGGCAATAAATTGCAGATTGTTTAGCTGCTGGATGCTTTCTAATGCTGTTTTGAGAACAAAGCCCTGACCTAGATAACTCAGGGGCTCTGGTGGGAGAAGCTCACCTTAGGGACTTATTAGGAAAATCTTACAGCATTTCCCCCTCTCTTTATGTAACAATTAACAAATTGTATGAAGTCTTCAACATGTAATATAAAATACATTATTTTAGGTTCTGTACAGTCTTAATATTCATTATTTATTTAAAGCATTTATATTCCGCCCTTCCCACCCCGAAGGGGACTCAGGGTGGAGCACAATATACATACGGCAAACATTAAATGCTGAAACATAAAATAAACTATAAATATACATAAAGACTAAAATCAATGATCTCCACTTTAAAATCAATTGTTTAATATACGTTGTTGCTTTTTTAGGAGTTACCGTATATCAGTAGTTCTCAACCTTCCTAATGCCGCAACCCCTTAATACAGGTCCTCATGCTGTCATGACCCCCAACCAGAAAATTATTTTCGTTGCTACTTCATAACTGCAATTTTTCTACTGTTATGAATCATAATGTAAATATCCAATATGCAAGATGTATTTTCATTCATTGGACCAAATTTAGCACAAATACCTGACATGCCCACATTTGAATACTGGTGGGGTTGGGGGAATTGATTTTGACATTTGAGATTTGTAGTTGCTGAGATTTTAAGTTCTCCTGCCATTAAAGAGCATTCTGAACTTCAGCAACGATGGAACTGAACCAAACTGGCACACAGAACTCCCATGGCCAACAGACAATACTGGAAGGGTTTGGTGGGCACTGATGTTGAGTTTTAAGAGTTCTAGTTCACCTACATGCAGAGAGCACCATGGACTCAAACAATGATGGATCTGGATAAAACTTGGAATGAATCAAATACTCAGTATGCCCAAATGTGAACACTGGTGGAGTTTGGAAAAAAATAGACATTGACATTTGGGAATTGTTGCTGGGATTTCTAGTTCACCTACAATCAAAGAGCATTCTGAACCCCACCAATGATAGAATTAGGCCAAACTTCCCACACAGAATCCCCATTACCAACTGAAAATACTGTGTTTTCTGATGGTCTTTGACAACCCCTCTGACACCCCCCCCCCCCCCCCCCCCCCCCGGTTGAGAAACGCTGCTGTATATAGTATGATTAAATTTACAGAAGCTGACAAAATCTGCCTCTGTAATTTGAGTCTTTTAAATTCCCTTTTATTTTTTACAATTATATCTATTTCTCTATATGAAAGTTACAGTATGTTTGTTTGTTTCTTTACACCACAAAGGCTCCTACAAGGCTGGATGGATCTGGACCACACTTGGTACACATGCTCCTCATTATCCAACTTAAAATAACTGAGGAGAGCAGTATATAGACAGACTGCATAACCTACCTACTAGCTACTGGTACACAGACAGGTGTCTACACCATAAAGCCTAACATGAGACAAAGAGCCTGTCAGGACATCCATGCCAGAAAAAAGTGACTTCCAAGAAAAAAAAAACACATGAAGGAAGAAAAAAGAAACAGGATTTTTTTTCGGGAAAGGAATAACCCTGTGTCCAGTTCTAGGCTCCACAATTAAAGAAAGCTATTGACAAACTAGAATGTATCCAGAGAAGGGCAACCAAAATGATCAAAGGTTTGGAAACCAAGCTTCATGAGGAACGGCTGAGGGAGCTGGGTATTTTCAGCTTGGAGAAAAGAAGGCTGAGAAGGGACATGATAGTCAGGTTCAAATATCTGAAAGAGTGCCACACTGAGGTGGAGGGGAAAACTTGTTTTCTGCAGCTCAGGGGACTAGAACTTGGAGCAATGTGTTCCAATTATGAAAAAAAGAGATCCCACCTAAACATCAGAAAGAACTTTGTGATGGCAAGAGCTGTTCAGCAGTAGAATAAGCTGCTGCCTCACATTATGGTGGAGCCTCCTTCTCGAGAGGTTTTTAAGTAGAGGCTGGAGGCCCATCTGTCAAGAGTGTTATGATTCTGTGTTCCTGCATGGCAGGAGATTGGACTGGAGAGGCCTTGTAGGCTCTTCCAACTCTATAATTCTACAATTCTATGAAAATTTCCAAGCCACCTGCAATTTCAGCAGTAGAGGTGACCATGAACTCAACATGAGTTTAGCCACATTATAAATGAGAAGAAACAAAGCAGCAATGCTATATTTCAACCACTAAATTTGGTAATCAAGTCTCTGTAATGAGTGCAAGTGATGAACTAACTGAGCATGTTGGGAGCAGGCAGATATCTGTTCTGAGCCAGCTTTCTCATTTGGAACCTGATAGTCCCCTGGAGTCAATGAGAATTTTTCTATCAAGATGCAACAAGATTTGAACTGGTTGACAAACTGAGATACTTTTAATTGATGGAATCAATTTTTTCTTTCTCCCATATGGCTCCAAAATGAGGAGTTAACAAGATACACTTCTAAAAGAGTGGGAGGAGGATAATTTATTTCCTCCTCAATATGATATGAGACTCCTGATAATTTAAATACTAAGAGTATTCTATTTCATTAACACCTCACTAAATCACTCACTATGGACTACTACATTTGATATGGCTTAACAAACGTCCTACGTCTATAAAAGAGCACCCTGAATAAAGCTTTAGATCTGTGGCCTACGAAAGCCTAATGTGGTGATGTATCTTTCAACTAGTTGAGAATAATAATAATAACAACTTTATTCTTATATCCTGCTTCCATCTCCCCAAAGGGACTCAGGGCAGCTTACACACGGCACAAGGTGCCAAAAAACAACATAAAATAAAACCCAATATAAAATACAATTTAATAAACAAATATGCATAAAAACAAACAACTTAAGGCACACATTAAAATAGCACTCAACAACCAATGGCAGCTAGCTACTGTAAACATGGCTAGGCTGTAAACAAAAGATCAAAGGAATAGGATAAGTGCAGTGTTGTAATCATGGAAAGAGGGCATGGATAAAGTGCAAGACTGCATAAATATTATGAAGAAACAACTAGAGACTGGGCATTCTCAAAAGATTGTTTGAACAGCAGAGTCTTCAGGTCCCTGTGGAAGGAGGAGAGTGTGGGGACCTGACTAATCTCCATGGGGAGGTCATTCCAAAGCCAGGGGGCCACCACCGAGGTCTTCTCCCCATCAGCTGCACTTTTGATGGTGAACGGACCAAGAGGAGGACCACCCCAGTAGATCTTAGAGCCCTTTGAGACTGTTTGAAAAGCACAGAGACTGCCTTCTGACCCCATACTAAGCCTGAAAACAACAACCTCCTGAAGATTTTGAGTATCACTAACGCCTGGCACAAAGGCAATATTAAATGGCAGCATTCTAGTTTCTGCAGATCTCACAGGTTTACTGGACATATAAAAGGAAAAGTGATCTGACAGGTATGATGGCCTTCCAGTGTTTAGGATTTTGCAGTGCGATTAAAAAAAATTAAACAATGCTTCACAGGTAATAGACAGAATCAGTTTAGTTTTTCCAGCATAGCCTGATGTTCTACTGAGCATCCTAGCTTTTCCGTTTAGCAGAAGTTGCAGCTCCTGAAACAGAGAAGGGGCAGCTCTACACAGGTATCTAGTTATATGGTCATAACCAGTGCATGAATCAAAGCAGCAAGACTACTCTTACCTAAGAATGACCTTAGTCACTCTATCAACCAACACTAGTAGGGGTCACTCAGATCTACTGAGATTGCCTGGGCCTCTAGTGATAAGATTAAAGTCCAAGAACGTTCCCAAACTATACAGCTGTTCTTTCAGAGAAACAAGTAAAAAGTTTAATTCCCATATCTGGTGACTACCCACTTACAGAATCACTTTCTTATCAGGATTCAGCTTCAGTCTATACGTTCTCATAGAATTCATAATATCAAGGCATTCATAGTTTTTGATAACATGTTACAAAGAAATAGAGCTGGATGTCATCTACAAAATGACTCTTTTTGGCAGTTATGTGGCATCCCATAGTTTAATTGTCATATCAGTAACTAGGGCATATGTCACTGAGGTCAGATGAAACATCTCTAGAAATGGACAAAATGGGCAGCAACAGACATAGATACACACTCTGTGCCAATACTCTTAAGGTTAATGCAACAACGTCGACAACTGTATTCTGGGTTGAATCCAGGAGTACAACCAAACTGTCAACAAGGGTCTTCAAGGAGAGTGATGGGAATATATGTAGGAGTATGGTTTGGGCCACCAATGATTACATGGGCATCAGCAAGGAGTGCATCATCCACTGATTGAATGAGAGTGCAGTAAATAAGACAAATATTGTTTTGTCCTTCTGGAGGAGAAAGATGCTTATTAATGAATTCAAACTCTGGAATATATATATTAAGAGAGTGAAGTGCAAGGTTTGCTCTCAGAGACAAATTACCTGTTGATCATCAGGAGTCCATATGCCACAGGTGATCTGACTCTCCAAGTTAATCTCCGAAGACCAATGTCTCTGCCCACTAACTGATCCAACTAGGACAAACCCATCTCTGTAGGAAATGAGTGCTTGCGTTCCATCGTGGCTCCATGTAAAGTCGCTCACCTTAATGCACACAGAGACAGAAGGTTAGATATCCTTTTATAATGTATTCCACAGTCAAAAGATCATCACCATACAGAAGCGACTGAAGTCAAAGACACAAACATTTCTGAGATTCCAGTTAATGAGTCTATCCCTTCCCTTTTAGACATATTCACGTGGGTATTCAGCCCTCAAGCTAGCTCTGCTGTTCTTGCATTTTAGAATTCAAATTGATCTCCCTGAAAAGTATGTCAAAGATAAATAGCTGATCTTAAGGTACATTTGATTAAATCTCACCTCCTGAAATGTGTAAATTCTTTTAATTTATCCAAATATAATTAGATTATCCTTTAGTTTTTAATATTTATTTATTTACTATATTTTTATACCGTCATTCTCAACCCAAGGGCGGCTCATGGCGGTTTAATTATTACTGATTAATATAGGGTAAAGGTAGGTAAAGGTAGTCCCCTGACATTAAGTCCAGTCATGTCTGACTCTGGGGTGTGGTGCTCATCTCCATTTCTAAGCCGAAGAGCTTGTCCGTAGACACCTTCAAGGTCATGTGGCCGACATGACTGCATGGAGCGCCGTTACCTTCCTGCCGGAGTGGTACTTATTGATCTACTCACATTTGCATGTTTTCGAACAGCTAGGCTGGCAGAAGCTAGGGCTGACAGCGGAAGCTCACACCGCTCCCCGGAATCGAACCTGCGACCTTTCGATCAACAAGCTCAGCAGCTCAGTGCTTTAACCCACTGCGCCACCGGGGGCTCCACTGATTAATATAGTAATAATAATAATACTTTATTTATATTCGGCCTCCCCAAGGGGACTCAGAGCGGATTACAGTATATACAAAGACATAGGAAAACATTCAATGCCTTGTTACAAATGACATACAATGAGGCAAATATACAGACAAAGGCAAAGACTTCTTTAATTTCCGGCTCGGAGGCGGTGCTCATCTCCAACTCTGGGGGAGGTGTTCTTTCTCTATTTCTGAGCCAAGGAACCTGCATTGTCCATAGACACATCCTGGTAGTGTGGCCAGAATGACCCCTTGAAGTGTCTTTTTGCCTTTTCCCGCCAAAGTGGTGCCTATTTATCTACTCACATTTGCATGTTTTTGAACTGCTTGGTTGGCAGGAGCAAGGGCTAACAGTGGGAGCTCACCCTGTCTTGTAGATTTGAACTGCCAACCTTTAGGTCAGCAGTGCAAGGGTTTATCCCAGGCATGGGCAAACTAAGGTCCGGGAGCTGGATATGGCCCCCTGGGCACTTACCTGAGGCCCTCTTCATTTTCCTCCTCTTGGTATAAGCCAAAAAGATGGGGGAAGAAGACATGTAGGAGCTGAGAGCCGTGTGGAGCACTCTCAACCACCGTTTTCTCACTCCCCCTCCTGGGATAAGGATGGTGTGAGCGACCCCATTTTTATGCCAGGAGAATGGCTTGAGGAAGGCACGCGGCGGCTGAGAGCCCCCTGGAGCACACTCAGCCACGGCCTGTCTTGCCCTCCTCCCAGCATAATGCCAAGAGGACAGTAGAGGAGGATGGGAAGGAGGATCGGGGCAGTTGCTCTGTGTCCCGCCTTACTCCCAGCATAAGAATGGGATGAGTAGCCCTGTCCTTATGCTGGGAGAACAATCTGAAGATGGCCCAGACTCTGCCCTGCTCTCTCCTGGCCCCGTCCTTTCCTGTGCCCTCCCCTCACAGCGTGTGCCTAGCCCCCCTCCCTCCTGGCTCAGCCCTCCTGGCCAGGCCCACAATGTGGCCCCAAGGTGAAAAGGTTTGCCCATGCCTAGTTTAATCCATTGATTAAGCAGAATGGATGGATTCTATGTAACTGACAGCAAGCACACAGTATTTTGAAATCTGGCTCATGACTGTATCTGAAACCATCCTCAAAAAGAAACCACAGTTGCACATTAACCAGAAATGGTAGCTAGTTACTAGTGTATTACTGCAAATGTATGCCATTGCCTAGAAAGAAAAGATTTTGTTTTTTTCTCTCTCTCTCTCTTTCCACACACATACACACACACAGTCATAGTACAATAATGTACAGTGGTGCTATTCCCTAGGGGTTCTTAAGAGATTGCTAAGGTATTCACAAGAGACTGTGTTTTAAATTAAATTTTAACTATAAATATGATTGTTATGCGAGGCTTCCCTCTGATTTGAAAATTCAAGGGTTCCTCCATTGAGATGGTCAGTGTAGGATCCAAAAAGTCATACCATTCTTTTTGTTTAAACAATCCCTTTTTCTGTGCATATTTTCTGTGAAATGTACAAGCAGCCAATAGTTTCCATTTGTGAGCAGATATGCTTGTGTCTGTGGCAAACAATAGAAAAAATGTCCCTTGGGCACTCATTTAGATTACCATATTTTTCTAACAATTTCTTTTGTAATTATTCTACCAGAAGTTATGTTTTTTAAAAGGTCAGGAAAATTCTCAAACTAAAACCAACATATAATACTAACCTGTGCCCCACGATCATTCACAAGCTCCACAGACCATCTGCCTTCATACTGAATCCAAACAAATATTCCACCATCTGCATCACAGGTTGCCAGCTTCTGAAATGGTTCATTCCATCTTACAAGCACCACCTAAGAAGAATCCAGAAAATAAAAACATTTTAACCGGGTTCCTACCTACTGTTTGCCAGAGTTTATCTAACCCAAATAGCAAAGATAAATTGTCATGTTTACATACTAAACTATACCTATGAAAACAAAAATATTCAGCTGGTAAATTTTCTCCCTAAGAACATCTGGATATATTTCACTCCAGCTGTAAAAGCAACTGAGAATCCTTATGGCTGAATTTCAATGAAATGAAGGATGACAATGTTTCATTCTCCAAACAGAAACCAGGTTCTTCATACATTATCAGATCTCCTCTCAATTGTCATGACAACTGTAGTCTCCAAGATCCATTCAAATATGTTTTGATATCCCATTAGCCTAGTTGAACATACACATCAAAGATCTCACTGGCTGAGAATAGGGAATGGAAGCATTCAATCTCTTCTTTCAGTTTTGTGTGGACAGTTTGAGTTGGACTACTCTTTTAATGTACATTTCTATGCACAAAAAGACTGTCAAAAATATGATTCTCCTCCACTCCAGAGATACAAGTACAGGCCATCTCACTGGTCATGTGAAAAACCTAAAAATCAGAGAATCATAGGGTTGGAGGAGATCACAAGGGCTATTTAGTCCAACCCTGTGCAATCAATATACTTTTGATAGTATCTTCCAAAATGATGGCAGGAATAGTAATAATAATAATAATAATAATAATAATAATAATAATTGCAAAGACTCTAGCACAAGCCAGTCAAGGTGGTCCCAGTTGTGGTCGGCACACTGGATGCAGTGGCCAAAGACCTTGGCTTGCACTTAAACACAATCGGCACTGACAAAATTACCATCTGCCAGCTGCAAAAGGCCACCCTACTGGGATCTGCACGCATTATTCGCCGATACATCATACAGTCCTAGACACTTGGGAAGTTTCTGACATGTGATCCAATGCAACAACCAGCATAGTGATCTTGTTTGCTGTGTACTTATCTTGTTGTGTTTCTAATCATCATCATCATCTTTATTTGTATCCTACCGTATATTCCGGCATATAAGACGACTGGGCGTATAAGACGACCCCCATCTTTTCCAGTTAAAATATAGAGTTAAGACGACTCCCATGCATAAGACTACACCCGCGTATAAGACGACCCCTGACTTTTGAGAAGATTTTCTTGGGTTAAAAAGTAGTCTTATACGCCAGAATATACTGTACTTTTCTACCTAAATGGGACCCAAAGCAGCTCACAACATTTTAAAAACAATACAGATCAAACATACATATAACAATAACCTATAAAACCATGTTTACAATAAGACATAAATAAACATATATAAAAACATTTATCAACAATCCAGTGTCACTTCTTGGTGCCATTTTGAAAGGGAGTCCAAAGGAAAGCAATTATTAGTTTGGAACATGTGTGGGGATGGGGGCATTCACGCATGGGGGGGATTTTGGGGAAGAAACTGTTTGAAAATGGTATCCATTTCTTTTAAACATTTGGGAGCTGGAGAAATGGTGTGGGGCTTTAGTGATCACAAAAGCGAGGTCCAGGAGATGGTACAGCCCATTGACTATACTTTGCACACCCTTGATCTAAACATTTGCCTCTGCCGTTTAACAATGAGAAAGAGCTTTACTGGGCCAAAACACAAGATCTTCTGGTCCAACACTCCACCTCTAACTGCAGTCAGACAAAAGCCTGGGGAAATGTATCAGTAGGGTATGGTGAAAGCAGCTTAAACAAGCCACAGCAGGTCTGTAGCTCCTCTTCCTCACAAAGCCTAACAATCTGTAACACTGTGGGTGACACTGCAATCGTGTTTAGTTGGTCTGTTCTACTTTAGTGGTGGCTGCTTGTAGGGCAAAGAAATTAATAGTGCGATGAAATGTTGTAACAATGCAGGTGTGAGTTTTACATAACTAGGTGCCTTTGGAACAGAAAGAAAGTAATGGGCAGCTGCAGCCACAAAATTTTAAAGGAGTTAACTTCCAGCCACAACTTTAACCCACTATGACTCACAGCAACTAGAGGTACATCCAAAACTTGGAAAATAACTTTTTGAGAGTATCTTTTCCCCTATTTTAAAATTACTTTCACTCAATGGTGTTACAAAGAGAGACTTTCTTTTGAATTAATTTAGATATCACCAATCACAGCAGGATCACATTGCATAATTATGAAGAGAATAATCTCTCTTGCTTCTAAGAGGATGCAAAACTATTGATTAGTCTTAATCTGTGAACACTGAAGACATAATGTAGCAACTGCTAAATATCTGAATACAAGTTTGACTGATGATTAATTTCTAGAAAACATTACGATGATTCTGTTTGTTATTTGAAGTGTTATATGATGAGTTGAGTATCCTTTATTCAAAATGTTTGGAAACAATAATATAAATTTGAAAATAAGTACGTAAGAATATATCTTGGAGATCAGAACCAAGCTCAAACATGAAATTCTATACACATAGCCTTAAGGTAAATTTATATAGTATTTTAAATATTTTTCAGCAGGAAACAAAGTTTGGGTACATTGAACATCTGCTATACAGTGTCCCAGAATACTTGTAAGGAATCTGAACAAACACAAAGTAATCTATGTAAGGAGAAAGTATAATATTCGAAGAACATATAGTATACAATATTACCAAAATCCCCAGTACGTAGCTCAATACAGAAGCTTAAAACAAAGTGAAAAGGAGCAACCGCTCTCAAACATAACAGTTCTGAATCAGTTAGATTCCAATGTATATATGTATCAGGGATACATGTTCAATGAAAAAACCTTTCAGACGAAGTAAGCAGACGATGAGTCATGAGTCATATGTGCACGCCTTCGTAAGGAAAATCTAAATTGTATTGAAATCCAAGTAAAGTCCAATGATAATGGAGCACCGCTCTCAAAAGACTAATTTTGGAATTTCAGAGAATTTCTGAAATCCAACACATATAGTTTGGATAATTCCACCCTATATGTGTTTGGTAAACATTCTCTTGGTTTCGGGCATAAGTGTTTTTTGTCTTTAACCCAGAATCTAGTTGGAGGTATTGCTCAGTACAGTGATGGCTTTACTCTACAGTCATAAGTGTATGTTGTCTTCCAGTTTTTCCATATACCTATCAATGTTATACAGCTTCATTGAGAACAATGTTGCTACTATTTACAAGAAAAGTAAAGAAATAATTGCAGTGTGTGGTTGCCTTGAACTAACTTTTCTGCTGAGGAACTTCAGTCTACATATATGTAATAAGCCCAAATTCTGTATTGCCTTACATAGCATTACTTCTCTCTCTCTTTCTCATGTTTTGCATGGTCTCTTATACAGTAGATATACAGAAAACCCTAAAGCAATTGCTTCTCTCTCCACAGCAGAGCTTTCCAAATATTTCATGTTGGTGACACACTTTTTTGATCTGCATCATTTTGTGACACAGTAATTCAGTTTTACTAGCAAACCAGAGGTTAAACCAACCCCTTAAAAGAGATATGGATACTAACAAAATTGTAATAATTAAATGTGTGGGGACACTATTGGGGTTCAATCCCACACTACCCAAGTCTCTAGTCCTCAACGAGTAACAAGTTAGTTAGATTAGAATAGTCTGAGAGTTTCCCTTCCCCCATGTCGTTTGTATGACCATTGGAATATATCTATTTCTTCTCTCTGTTTGTGTTCTCATTCTGATTGCATGTGTAGAATGGATACTTTTCTACTACAAGCCATTACTTCTGCTTTTCTTTCTTTCTATGTGCTATGTGTATATGCAAAGATATCTCTCTTTGCGTGTGTATCAGAGAGATGTAGTGACTGATATTTCCCTTTTTTGAAACCTTAGAAGAGATGGGTATTAGAGTAGATTAGACCCAGTTATTTACTGTTAAAAATGTAGTCAGTCATTATTATTAAGGTAAATAAACCTTTTGTGATTTTTAAGATTGAACTCTGTCTCTTGCCTTCCTAAGCTCTAAATTCTTTACAGCCACATCACACAGCACTTCACACTCTGAATGTTATGAGCGGATGCTCAACTTTTAGTATCCTGTTTGTATTTTGGATGCTCTGCTATATTTTGAGTAGTTTTCCCTAACAGACACAATCTTATCTCATGAAGATCTTTCATTTATATTTTTAAAATCTATGAATTATTGCTTATTCCACAGAGGTTTCTGCTTACGTTCACATCACACACCTACACACTGCAGGTGACACACGAATGTGTCGTGACACAGTTTGGAAAGCTCTGCTCACTAACAGGAAAAGGGAGCAACAAATCTAACAGCACACATCCAGTAAAAGTCACAAAGAGAACATGAAAATGAAAAAACATTTTCTACTGCCAGCATGTGGTTGATTTTTTCTCTCCAAGTGAAACTGTCTGGAACGTCTACTGATTAACTGTGGTTGTGGGTGGCTTAGTCTTTTGAGAAATGTGCACTTTTAGTGCTCGATAAAGTAATAAACAGAGATTTGACAGGTAACATAAAGAAAGCTGCAAAAGTGAGATCAGGCACAGATCACAAACTAATTACTCAATAATATTCTAATCCCTATACCAAAGAAGTCAATACATTTAGCAAAGGAGTTCACAAAACAGCTGTTTTGAAGAGATTGGTTCTTTCCCCTTTTTTAAATGCAGGCTATATGTAACTTTACATATTACATTGAGGCAATACTCAAGCGTGGAAAATCTCCTGAAAAGTGGCAAAATTTAAACTTGAAATGCCGTGTTCTGGTATTCCTAAAGTAGATGGTTAGTGATTCGTTTGAGGTTAAGAGAGTGTGAGTTGCTTAAGGTCACCCACTGAGCTTCCATGGTTGAACAGGGATTTGAACCCTCATCTTGGTAATCATAAGGAAAACACAACACATGCTGGCTCTCTTTCTTTGGTACTGAATGACTAACAGTGAAATTATGTATATGGTGTAATCAAGTATTTCTTTAAAATGTGGCAAAAAAGGGAATGTTCTGTATTTAATGAATGTGTATGTTCTATATTTCGTGGAAGGTC